CCTGGGATTAATTTAATTACACACTCATCTCCGAGAGGCTGGGGCTCAGAGGCGCCCAGCGGGATCACGAGTTGCCCGAGGCTGCTGGGAAGGATCATCCTCCCAGGGAGCCCGGCCCTCCGGGGTCTCCCTCCCCTGTTCCAGAAGGTCCACCTTGCTGCCACTCTTCCTGCTGCAGGACACCTGCTCTGACCCATGGGCAACCAGATGTCTGGCTCCTGGGCCCCTGGCAGGGAGCAGAGCCTGGTCTGGGGAGCTGAGTGTGGGGATGGGATTGAATGTGGCCGAGACAGCCTCGAATCCTCTTAAACTCGGGGGGTGGGGTGGGGTGGGGGAAGGGGCAGACTCAGGCCTCAGGAACGGCCCCCAGACCAGAGCTGGGAGAGGTGGGCAGAGGGGGCGCTGATTGGCCATCCTCCTGGCCACCCTTCTGCTTCTGGGATGTCCGTGGGTGGCTCTGCAAGATGCTGGTGTGAGAATTTAATCCTCTCTCTCTTTTTATTTTTTTTATTTTTTTTTATTTTTTATTTTTTAATTTTTTTTTCAACATTTATTTATTTTTGGGACAGAGAGAGACAGAGCATGAACGGGGGAGGGGCAGAGAGAGAGGGAGACACAGAATCGGAAACAGGCTCCAGGCTCTGAGCCATCAGCCCAGAGCCCGACGCGGGGCTCGAACTCACGGACCGCGAGATCGTGACCTGGCTGAAGTCGGACGCTTAACCGACTGCGCCACCCAGGCGCCCCTGTTATGGACATTTTAAAGTACATCATCTGGCTCTTTTTACTATGGCTCTTAATTCATTGACTAATTTTTATTTTTATTTAAAAAAATTTTTTTTTCTACGTTTTTATTTATTTTTGGGACAGAGAGAGACAGAGCATGAACGGGGGAGGGGCAGAGAGAGAGGGAGACACAGAATCGGAAACAGGCTCCAGGCTCCGAGCCATCAGCCCAGAGCCTGACGCGGGGCTCGAACTCATGGACCGCGAGATCCTGACCTGGCTGAAGTCGGACGCTCAATCGACTGTGCCACCCAGGCGCCCCTCTTTTTTTTTTTTAATAAAAGAAAGATTTCTCCCTCTTCTGGAAGTAGATTATTTGAAAATTAACGAGTGGTGCGGATAAATAGTCACTTGTCCCCGTATGTGAGCACCACCATCGATGTCCCCACGTACCTCCCTCCTGAATTTGTTTCCTTCCATCGATATTGTCCCCCCCCACCCCCCCTGTGCGCCCCTCTCCCCCCCCTGCCCTCCCCGGGGGGGGGGGGGTGGTGAAGGGTTTTCCATACTGTCGAGGAGGGACATCCTTCTTCAGCGTCGTTTGAATGACAGGGCGTGGCTCTCTGCTGTCATTGGACAAATGGTTGTTTCCATTTCTGGCCACTGTCACACACGGTCTGCATTCCTCATAATGAGAACGAACTCTTGAGGATAGATTCCATCGGACGCACCAGATGATTTTAAAATGTTTTGAGACCTCCCCTGTTGGGCTCTAGGAATGAGAAGGAAAAGCCCAGCAGACCCTGGTGGTCTGAAGGATACTGTGTTCTCTGCAGCTGCGTGGGGTTTGGGGCAAACCGTAACGGTGGGTTGAGTGGGGGCAGCGCCGGGTCTGTGCCCCCGTGTGGCCTGTGTGCTGTGGCCCGTGGACCCTGAGGTGTGCTCCTGGCAGCAGCGGGTGGCGGGCGGCTGGGGCGTTGTTGGGTCATTTGTGGCCTCGCCTGTGTCCCTTCTCCTGGTGCCGGCTCTGTCCCCGCTCTCTTTTCCTCGCTGCCATCCTGGGAGGCGCGGGCTGGACCCCGCCGTGGCCGAGGGATTGGCTTGCTCGGGCAGGAACAGTGGTGTGTGTCCGGCCCGCCCGCAGTCCAGAGAGGGCGCTGAGGCTCGGTCGGCACATCTGCTGACTCCTTCCCAGTCCGTGACTCCGGCTGTGGTCTGACCAAGAGGGGCAGTGCTAGGGGCACCTGGGTGGCTCCGTCGTTCACGCCGGCTTCTTGCTTTCGGCTCAGGTCACGATCTCAGGGTTCGTGAGTTCGAGCCCCGCATCGGGCTGTGCGCTGACAGCGTGGAGCCTGCTTGGGATTCTCTCCCTCTCTGTCCCGCCCCCGCTCGCTCTCGCATGCTCTCTCTCTCAAAAAAGATGAATAAACTTAAAAAAAAAAAAAAAGGAAATGCTGGGAGCTCCTGGTGGACCCCTAGAAATTGGCAGAGGGAGACAGAACCACCCCCATACCAGGAAACCGGGGCGGAAATGTGCCCACTTCCCGATGGCTCGTGGAGGGCAGGGCAGGCCCCTGGTGGCGTGCAGGTGACTGGTCCCCTCCTGAGTTCAGGGCTGTGCCTGGCAGTGCTGCCCCCGGTGGGGGCCGCGGTGAGCAGGGGGGGGGGCCGGCTCGCCGTCGTGCCCGAGAATCAGGCGGTCGCGGAGGGTCCAGGAGAGAGGCTTGACCAAGAATCACGTCTTCTTTCTGGGACGCGTGCCAGCTCCTCCTCACGGTGCTGTGCTCTCAGGTCACAGCAGCCAGACGCTTGGGGTCGTGGGCCCCGGGCGGCGGCGAGAGGGTCTGGCAGCCTGGGCCCTGGGCTCCCCTGCTCACCCGCCTGCAGCGGGGGACGCCGCTCCTCTCGGCCTCCGAATCTGCAAAGTGGGGAGGATGCCTGTTGGACCCTCGCCAGATGCTGGGGCTGCCGGGTGGCACCCCCGGGGTGGGTCTTCCCTCCCCCACCGACCCCACCCAGAGGGAGGCCACACAGGGCTCGGCTAGTTATTTGGGCCTCTTTGTCTTAAAGGGCGAGACAAGAGAGCTGGGAGATCTCTGCAGCATGTGTCCACTGATTCCCCGGCTGGTGTCCCAGGGAACCCTCTGCCTCCCTATGCCCAGAGGGGTCCGGCACACCCTGAGGCCTTTCCCGTCAGGCCTGTTTGCGTGGGTGTGATGTGGGAAGTGTCTGTCCGTCCTGGCTGACTGAGAATAAACTGAGGCTGGGGGGCGGGCACAGGGCATGCACACGGGGTCCTAACGAGGAGGCCCTTGGGGTCACCCTCCGCCCCGGGCTCCCGTCCCACCTCCGCTGCTGCCCTGAGTTGTGCCGTGAACAAACCACTTCAACTCAGAGCCTTGATTTCCTGGCCGTCAAGGAGCTCTGCAGGGCTGGGGGGTGGTGAGGTGTTGTGGGGGGCAGCCCCCCACATGGGGGCTCCCCAGTGCCATCCCTGAGGGTGAGGGCGGCAGGCCTGCGGGGGAGCGGCCCTCCTCCCTCTCCAGCAGGCCCCGCATTCCTGGGAGCTGAGTGGTGCTGACTCGGGGCGGGAGGGGCCTGTTGTGTCATTTCTCAGGGTGGGCCCGGCCGTCCCCCCCAATTCCTGCTCCCGGGCTGGGCTGATGCTCCTGGGCCCAGGCTAGGGCTGGGTGGGCGGAGCTCCCGAAGACCCTGCCCATAGTGCCCCCCAGCAGGCAGGTCACTGGGCAGAGGGGGCACCTCTGTGTGCAGACTGCCTCCCGTAGCTGGGGGTAGCCTCAGAGTGTGGCCTTGGTGGCCTTGCTGATGGATGGGCTGGAGCTCTTGAGGCCTGGGCCGAGCCCCAGCCCCAGCCCCAGCCCCAGTGGAGGGAGGTTCTGGCCTTCTGGGGAGGGGACCGCCAGCTGAGCATGAGTGGGGGGGGGGGGGGGCATTATATCCATATCACCCAGGGGCTCATCGGGTAGCGCCGGCTGTGTGCGGGGGGCAGATGCTTCATTTTCCCTAGGTGGCCCAATGGTCCAGCTTGTCCCACAGCACAGGTGTGTTATGAGTCCCGCGGGGTCCACCTCCCAAGGCAGTGCTATAGAGAGGTGGCTTTGGCCAAGGGTCTGGTGGCTTCTCTGGTGGCTTTTTTTTTTTATTTATTTTTTATTCTTTAAATCTTTATTATTTGTTTTTGAGAGAAAGAGAGAGAGAGAGAGAGAGAGAGAGAGAGAGAGAGAGAGAGAATGAGCAGGGGAGGGGCAGAGAGTAGAGGGAGACACAGAATCTGAAGCAGGATCCAGGCTCTGAGCTGTCATCACAGAGCCCGACTTGGGGCTCGAACCCACGAACTATGAGATCACGACCTGAGCTGAAGTCGGATGCTTAACCGGCTGAGCCACCCAGGCGCCCCATGGTGACTTCTGAGATAAAGGGCTGGGGAGCCCGGGTGTCCTGTTGAGGGCAGGAGGAGCAGTGAGTGACTGGCCCGGTGGACGGGGTGTAGGCTGGTGTCCGGGCCACGTGAACCCCGGTGCGGTGCTCATGTGGACAGGAAGCACGGAGCCTGTCCCTTACCGGGTGACCTGTCTTTCCACCTGCACAGCCACACCTGCCGTGATGGTGGCGTCCCCTTGCCTGCCCTGCCCTGACCCTCCCTGCCGTGTGTCCCGCAGCCCGCTCCTCGCCCCTGTGCTCTGGGTTGCCCTCGGCTTCCACCTCGGCAGGCTCCCTCACCCCAGCCTGGCCCGGGGTGACTCGGTTAGCGCTTCTGTCCTCTGCTGGTGGGGCTGATTTCTAGCCTGTTGGGGAGGCAGGACCAGGGCTCTGGGAGGCAGGACTGGGCAATTTATCTGCCTTTCTGATGTGATTGCAAAACATGTGAGGGTGGTGAGGGAGGGTGGCTTTCCCCCCCTGCCGCTTTCAGAAACTGGGGGTGCACGGTTGGGGAGCGTGTCCCTGACTTGGCCCAGGGCGCGGCCGCTGACTGCTCTCGTCGGCAGAGTCCTCCAGGAAAGCTGGTGGCTCGCCCACAGTACGTGTGCCTCCCGAAGTTCCTGTGTGCCAGGCAGGGTGGAGCGGAGGAGTCCTGGACGCCTCTGGGGCCTCAGTTTCCCCACCGTGCCGGGGACGGGGCTCCCTGGACCCCATACCCCGCTGTGTGCTGCCCCTTGGCTGTGAGGGTCCCATCAGGGCCTCTGATCGGGGGTGTGACTCTCACTGGAGACCGAGTCTGATGACTAAGATGCTCCCTACTTGTGTCGTTACAGATCCCTCGTCCACCTACATCAGGCAGCTGGAGACCAAGGCCCTCGCACAGGTAAGCTGACTGGGGGTGGTAGACAGCGGGGGGCACTGCACTCGAGGGGCCGGTGCGAGCCCCCACCCCCACCCCCCCACCCCACCGCTCCAGTGCCCACCCATGTCCCAGCCTACCTGGGGCTTATAGCCACCCACCTGCCCCCACTGCCGTCCGGAGTCACCCCCTGGAACTTGGGGGTCACGGACCTAACCCTTGCGCCACGGCCTTTGGGGTGTCTCCCATCACAGCCTCTCCCTGCTGTCCCCAGGAGTCTGTGAGCTCCTCGGGTCAGCCCTAGGCCTGTCCCAGAGATGGTGTGCACTGTGCAATTGCTGAAGAAGGGGCCGCTTTGCCCCTCGGATGGGCAGATCGAGGCCGGAGACGGGGCAGGCACATCCCCACTCTCTCCCGCATGGAAACCTCCCTGCTCCTGCCGCCCTTATTCCTTTCCCGGCCGGGGTCCGCCCTCCGCCCACAGGCAGATGAGGCTGTCTTTTCACCGGCTCGTCCCCGGCACAGGGAGGGCAGGTTAGAGGCTGGAGGATGAGGACAGCACAGCGGGGAGGCTGGGCAGGGTGACAGCCAGTGCAGGGGTGCACACGGCTCTGCTCCTGCTGAAGACGGCTGGAGCGGAGCAGGGTGGTGACTGCCAGGACGGGGGCCTTCTCTGCCGTGGGTGGGGACAGGGACGGGAGGCTGTGGTCGGCCCCGTGTGGGGTCCTGGGGGCCACCTGGCTTGGGCAGCCGCTCCAGCCTCTCTCTCCCTTGTCCCCATCCTTGGCTTACTCTCCCCTCCCCCTCCCCTGCCATGCCCCCAGCCCGTAAGCGTCGGCCAGAATGTCCAGAGCGTTTCTCTGGGAACCGATCCCGGGGAGGGCTCAGCTGCCGGGCCCCGTTGCTAGGCGACCAGCAGGCCTGGTGCCACTGTCCCGCTCGGGAAGCCCGAGGCCCCCTCTCTGCCCGTTGGGTGGCTGCTGGGAGGCTCATGGCCCCGGCACGCAGGACAGCTCCCACCACGGCCATGCCACGCCTCACCCCCACGTGGGCTGTGTGGGCAGTCCCACAGCCTAGCAGGACTCACTTGTCCACACCGCCGGGGCCACCGCACCCATGCTGTGGTATGTCACCAGGCACTGAATTGCAGGGCTGGTTTGGTAACTCTCTATATGGTTAAGGTGCTGTGTGGCAGAAGGGCTTGGCCACAAGACCTGTTGGCTTCTTTGCCTCCTTGGGTGGGGCGGGGCTCGGGTCTCACCTGGCCCGGGGGGTGGGGGTGGGGTTGCTGGGGCACCTTGCATTCTGAGTGGGCCTGATGCGGGGGTTGATAAGGAGGGTATGTGGCCTGGGCTGCAGGAGCTGTAGGCAGAAGTGATGCTGGGAGAACTGGGGGTTGGGGAGGGGCAGATTTAAGGCTCGGGGACCTTTGCCGTGGGCAGGTGCCCAATGGACGGCAGAATGAAGGCCGGGACCACGATCTGGACCCGAAGCTTCGGGTCAGTGGCCTCGTGAGTCTGTCCCAGCCTGACTGTCCTTTGTTTCATTGTTCCCTTGGAAGAACATGTTGAGAGCCCAGGCCCCGAATTCAGGATGCTGTTTGCCTTGTGGTTCTGTGGTCCAACCGGGCATAGCTTGTGGTCCCTTTCCCACAAACACAGGAGTGTCCCCGACCCCGGGCCACATTGTCCCACTGGAAGAATATACCCCGATTCCCAGTGGTGGGTCTGGCTGTGGACTTGGGGGAGATGTGCACACACTCAGGACCTGAAGTAGGGGTCCCTTCTAGTCCTTCCTCCCTGGGGGCGCCCCTGCTGTCACAAGGGAGGCCCCGGATGGCTGTGCGTGCTGGCCCCGTGCCCACATGTGCAGAGTTGGAGGTTGTCAGGGGCCCTGTGTCTGGGCAGCAGGGGGACAGCAGACGCCTGAGCAGTGGTTGGCTCTGCCCGCCCCCCACTCTCCCACCCCCAAGCCTGCTCGGACCTGCTCCCAGGGGTCATACCTGGGGCCTTGGTCTGGAGGCAGCAGCAGTAGGGCTCTGTCCGTCCTCCACTGGTGCCCACGCCTGGGCCAAGCAGAGATACCCAAAGATGGGGGCTTGCAGACCCTCGCTGGGATCCAGGCTCGCTGGCTGCAGGCGGTTAGACTGAGATTTAGGGACAAGAATGAGCTTTGCCTCGCCTACTGCTAGTAGAGGGACAGTTCCAGGGACTCAGCATCCAGCGTCCCAAGCATCCGGCGTCAGCCACGTGGTGCTGGGGCCTCGGCCCTCCTCCGCCAGTGCGCCGTGCATCCTTGACCCCTTATTGTAGCAAAACGGTTGGGCCTCAACCTACGGTCAGCAACGACACCCGGGAGCCACTGGCAGAATGTCTCCAGGGTCATGGCCGGGGCTCCTGCTGCCCTCCCACCTGCTGTCACCAGAGCTTGGCCCCGAGGGTGGGTTGGTCATCTGACTGCAGAGGAGGGCATTGCTGTTCTGAGCCTTGCAGGAGAGATGAGAGACAGAGACAGTGAGACACCCCCCCCCCCCCCCCCCCCCGGCCTGCTGTCAGCTTCCTAGTGGCAACTCACACCTCACTTGCTTTTGGATTTCTGGGGCAGCTCAGATGGCACCATTCGGTTTGCTCACCTGTAAAATGGGCTTCGTGTATAGTTCGTGTATAGTTGGTGACCTGCTGTGCATGGCCCTAGGGGTTCGGGGGTGACGAGGCACGGGCCTGACCACCTCCTTGTTCAGCTAGCAGGACTCATGTGCATGAGGAGGCTGCCGGAGGACGGCAGAGGCAAGGAGAGCCCCCCAGGTGGGACAAGGCCCACGATGGGTGTACTGGCCTCGTTCTAAGAGAGTCCAGGGAAGAAAGGGTTCAGGCATGGCCCCCTCCCGACAGCCTCCCTCCCCAACCACCCCCAGGGGGCTCGGTCCTTAGTCTGAGCTCTCAGCCCTGTGAGTTGCCCTCCCTTGCTGCTAGGCTGTCGCGATCCTCCCTTGGAGGGAGCCTGCCCCCCACCCCTGCTGGGCTGTCGGCGTCTCAGGGACTGGCTGCTGGGTCCGACCGGTCACATCTGCATCTCCAGGGCCTAGCTCAGCTGGACTAGGTGGATACATCTCGGGGAGCTCCTGGCCACCCACCCACCCAGAGTCCTGGGGCAAGAGGGGAGGCTGAGGCTGGCTCTTGCCGAACCAAGGACCAGCCGCTTCATGAGGTGTAGTGAGCTGGTCATCTTTGGAGGCAGTCACGTGATGGATGCCCACATTTGGGAATCTTGGAGAGAGAGATTCCTTCCTGCCACGGGTGGGCTTCTGGCCTGGGTCTCGTGAGCTCGGGCTTGTCAGATTTTATGATTCTGGCACTTAAGCCTTGTCGTTGAGATCAAACCGCACGGGAACCGCAGGAAAGTCCGGCACCTGCCGTTTCGGCGAAAAGCAGGAGAAAGTGCTGTTCCTCTTTGAACCATCTTAAGGGGACGTGGCTCCAGGGTCTGGGCCTCTGCGGCCTCCGCTTCCCACTGCCCCCGCCTCTCCCCTCCCCTCCCCTCATGGCCTCTATTTAACTCCAAAATAGCTTTAATTAAAAACGTGCCAGAGTGTTCACAGACTAAATTACCGTATTGCGGTTCGTATTTTCTTTCTCGTGTCGGCTTTAAAATTCCGTCAACACAGCTGCCTCCTCTGCGATGATTCATCTCGAGCCCCCGTACACATGATTCCTTTTCCTGTGGATTCTGTGCCCGGCCGCGCTGGGGTGGGGGCGGCTGTCATTGACGCCGGGGCCTCGGCTCTTGGTTCCCTCGCTTAATCCCCCTGCTGGGCTGATAAATGTAAGGCTCCGCTTTCGCCCAGAAGCCAGCTTTACAAAAGAGCCAGTGACGTTCGGGCTGATGTCACACGGGGCAAGTGGGCAGCCATCCTGGGGATGGAGGCTGTGGCCCAGGCCCGCCTCCCTCCTCCTCACCCCTGTGCCTGCCCTTTCTTTATCCTGCCACGCCACACAGGGTCGCCTGAACCACTCAGGCTAGAAGTGACCCCAGGATTTACACCAAGCGCAGATGGGGAAGCTGAGGCCTGGGTGGAGGAGGGCGTCCGGGCCTGAGTGACTGTATCAGTGTCCTGGGGCCGCTGTAACAAAGAGGCATAGACCGGGTAGCTTCAGCAACAGAAGCGTGCTGTCTCATGGTTCTAGGGGCCACGGGGTCAACGTATGAACCTGGGGGGACACAATCTAGCCTGCAGCAATGGCGTCATTGGCCTGATGGTGTGAAGAAGTGGGTTTGGGCTCTAGAGGAATTGGAGTTCAAATGATGCGCCAGCACTCACCTGCTCTGTGGCTTTAGGCATGATGCGTTATGTCCTGATGCTTCGGTCCTTACCTGTGAGGCAGGGATGACGGTGATGCCCGCTGCCTGCCGGGCACTGCCTGCCCTTCTCTCTTTTTCCTGCTCTCAGGGACCTGGGATGTTCGAGGTCTGTGGTAGACTTGCGCCCACCTGCCTGGGCCTGGCCCGTCCCCGTATGAACTGCTCCTTTCTGGCCTTTGTCTGAGTTTTGAACCATACGGGCCGGGGGACAGCGGAATAGTCTGCCACCCTCTAAGCCTGTGCCGACGCCTCAGTGCTGTGTTCTGAGTCCCCGGGGAAGACCTGTCGCCCTGAGTGGCCCGTTCCCTTGCCCAAGCTGCCCAGAGACGCTGGCCTCCAGTGTTTCTTTGGTGGTGCCTTCTGGGACAGGTCGCTGCTGGTTGACGGGCCCTGGGCTGTCCCTGCTTGAGGCTTGGTGGTCACGTCCTGCTCCCTCTCTTGCGAATGGTGTGCTTTCTGGATCTCTGGAGGGCTTTAGCTACGTCTTTAGCAGAACCTCAGAACCGGTCCTTGAACCTCGCCTCCAACCAGGGAGGAAACCTTTCTAGCATCTGAGCAGATGGTCTGTCTAGCCATATGGGCAGAAGGAGGCTAGGAATACCACCTCTGTCCCCTCTATGCCTGAGGCCTAATCGCTGTCCACTGTGAGCCACATGCTGGGTGACCGTCAAGGCCAAGCCCAGGACTCTAGGGCTAGAGGGCCTGGTTCAAGTCGCCAAAGTGCCGCTTACCAGCTGGGGGGCGTTGGGCCAGGGGCTTAACCTCTCTGTGCCTCAGTTTTCTCGTCTGTAAAATGGGGACACTGATGGTGGCCGCCCCAGGATTAAAGGGCGAATCCCGCAAAGCACTGAGGACTAGGGCTGGCCAGTGGAAAGAGTCGTGGGCCATCCAGCAGCCGAGTGCCCTCCGTGACCCCGATTTACCTGCAAGCAGCAGAGACCTGGAACACTGATGGGCTGCTCAGAGTCACCCAGCCGCGGTGGGATTTGGATTTTGCAAATCTGTTCCCCTCCCCAAAGCCCCCCACCCCTTCCTGGGGAGATCCCGAGGCCTGTCCCTCCCTCTCACTCACCTTATTGCCGAGGGGACCTGTAAGGGGCCGATGGTCACTGTGGTGGATGAGACCGTCTGGGTGTTCTGCCATCAGCCACACGCTCGAGTTTGAAACCTGGGATTTGGGGTCTGACATTGCATGGGGAGTAGGGACGCGGTGCCAGCAGTGGGTGAGTAATAGTAACCGTACATTCGCCCCGCGTGGGGCCTCCGCTGCCTGATCTGAGCACCAATTAGGAAGAACCGTCTGGGCCCCCAGCCACGAAGCCGCCGCTCTCTTCTTAACGGCCTGCAAGTGAGTTCTCTTGAAATTAAAGGGGAAACCGAGAAGACAAGTGTGGCCGGACGGTTGTACCAGCATGCCCGTGTGAGGGTCCTCGCCGGTCACCCCCCCGCCCCTCCCAGCCGGCGGGCTGGCATCTCGGGGCGCCTCTAGGCCAGTGCAGGGGCCTGGTGTGAGCCCCAAGAGGGCTGGGAGCGGGCCAGGCGCTCGGGCAGCCCTTGTAAACATGGGGCTTTCCAAAAACGTGGGGGCTCCGAGGTGCCCACCCCGGCCCGGCCGAGGCTCCGGCACCTTTGGGCTACCGAGGGACCTGGGGAGGGGGGCCGAGGGGGGCCGTGGCTGGCATTTCCTGGGTGACACCGCTCCTCTTCCCTTGCAGCCGCCCCGCCCCTGCGGCCGCCCGAGAAGCTGGTTTCAGGTAGAACCGCCTGGCGGGACGTGTTTGCAGTGGTGTCTGTGGTGGGGGCTGTTTTGAGTGCTGTGTGCTGTCCTGTCTCCTCCGGGTCTCCCCCGGCCCTGGCACCCTCCTGGCACTTCCTGGGAGCTCAGCACCCCCAGGTGCCCCGGTTCTGCTTCTAGATTCTTCCTGGGGTCTGCCCTTCCCGAGCTGGCATTGGAGTCCAGCTTTGCCGAACGGCAGCAGAGAGCCAACGGGGCAGCGGCCTCCGCGGTGCCCCACGCAGGCCGTGCTCGCTGAGCTGCCACCGCATCCACCCAGCTGGCCTTTGTAGTCCGAGTGCTCTCCGGACGCCCCTTTGTCAGCGTTCACCCTTGAGGCCCCACCTCCCGGTCCTGGCTTCGCACGGTAGACGCTGCGTCCCTGCCGGGTGCACGCAGTAGGTGCTGCAGCAGACGGTCCCTCGGGGACCGGAGTCCTTTGGGCAGCAGGTGGGAGGGGTGACAGCTACTCTGAGCGAGCCCGTCCACAGCTGCTGCCCAGGGAGGGGCACGTGGGCAGGGTCCTCCCTTTGCATCCTGCTGTGGCCCTTTTCTGCTCCAGGAGGAGCCCTCTGACGGTGCTCCCTGGAGCCCCCCCCCCCGGCGGGCAATGGCTGGGGAGCTCGCTGCATGCCCGCGGGGGCCCAGAGGGGCTGGGGCAGCCCGAGTTCACGCCAGCTCCGAGCCAGGCAGCGACGCAGGGACTGAGGCCCGTGTCCTTAACAGCGGACTCGGCAGGGGGGGTGGAGGGAGGTAGGGGGGCAGGGGCGTGGCCTCCCGGGTGTCCCCCCTGGCTGGAAGGGGCAAACCTGTTTGCACTCCATGTGTCCTTTAAGGATGTGGGAGCCCCGCCCACTCTGTGTGGCAGATCCTTTCTCCCTGGGTCCTGAGGGACCTTCGTTTGGGATCCTATCCCATAGGAGGGCAGGCATCCTGTCCCCGCTTCCTGAACCACCCTGAGCAGGCCCAGCCAACCCACAAGGCCATTTCAGCTCCACATCCCCTCGGCGATGAAAACCTGAGGATTTCATTCTTGGGCACCAACAGGCACATCCCAGGATTTTTCATTTGGATTGAAGTGCCGTTATGGTCCCTCATGTTGATGTGTCATTAGTCCCGTTGCCCCTAACGAGAGATCGTGTGTCTTTCCCCCGCCAGCTTGGTGGGTCGCTAATAAAGTTCTGTGGGCACACAAATATTTATAGATGATCACCGAAGGCAGGCGTGGGAATTGCATGTGCTAATTAAAAACACTCCCTCCCACCCCCTTGTACATACATGTCCTTCCGAGGAAATGATCCAGGGGGAGGGAGGGGGCTACATAAACCAGTGTTCTCAGTACCAACACGGGAGTTCCTTCTGAACCCATTTGGTCTAGCACCAGAGGAGGTGTGGACGAGGGGGAGACGAGGCCCGGATGAGGTTCTAGACGGTCCTTTGGGGAAGGACAGGCAGCGTCCAGCCGTCCTGGTCCCAGGGACTGCTGGGAGAGAGCGGTGGCTCACAGCCCTGGCCGTGTGGCCAAATAAATGTCAGTGTGTGAGCTGCGCTGAGTCTTACGCCTGGGCCCTTTCAGCAGCCTGTCCAGGCGGGCGGGGCGTGCTCCTGCAGAATGGTGGCAGGGGGCCTGGTGAGAGCCTGGTGGCACTGGGTGTGGTGTTCAGCGTGACTGGGGTTAGAACGTACTGTCCATTGGAGACGAGTTGGTAACTGTCACCTGGCCAGGAAAATAATTGGTTGGGAGTTTTGCCTTTGAGTGAAGGTGGATCCCCCTGCCCAGGGTGGGCGAGCCCGAGAGGCGCAGGTGCCCTGATGGGGGGGGGGTCCCCCTGCTGGGGGGGGCGAGGGGGTGCTGGGCAAGGGGGCAGGGTCTTTGTCATTTTGGTGTCAGGTGGCAGAGGGGACCCCTCGCTGGGCCACCCACCTCTGGTTCAGCCCAGGGTTGGCCATAATCAGGGGACGTGGCAGTCACATTTTAAGGGTTCTGGTGACACCCTGTTACACTTCAGGGGCCACCATGGGAGGGTGGGCCACCACTTCTCTCCCCTCTGTGCCTCTTGGTAACCTTTGTTTACACTGAGGTCTTCCTGGAGGCCATGGGAATAGTTGTCTCTCCTCCTGGCCAAGGTGCCTGGGGTGGGTGATGGTAATCTGGTGGGTGACTGCTCAGATCTGCTTTCTGATGTTTGCTCTAGCGGCCTCCGCGGGGCATCTGCCTTAAGTGGGTTTTTATTCTAGTCCCACAGACGCTTACAAGACACTGCTGTGTGCCCCTGAGCTGGCCCCCTGAGACCTGGGGGGTCTGACCTGGGGGATCTGATGGGGATGGGAGGGCGGAACATGGAGCTGGTGAGGCTGGAGACCCATGAGAATTGCGGTCTGTGTCCAGCAATTGGCAGGAGGGGAGCAGGCTGCATGTGGGTCCCTCCCGAACCAGCAGAGGGGGGCTGGTGAGCAGAAGGAGGGGTTCTAGGCCGTCTGGCTCACCTGCCCCTGCTCTGGCCTCCTCCCCTCCAGGATCTGTTTGGGTAACTCGGCACCCTGTTGATTTATGGGACATTCTCTGTTTTATCTGCCCAACAGCATGCTCTCAGTTCCTTTGGAGTAGAAACAGGTGTCTGGGCCAGAAACACCAGCCCAGGCTCTTAGTGATGGAGGGGCTTGTGCTCAGCTGGACCAGAGAGGGCCTGTGTGGGATTGAGCGGGACCCCCGGATCCCCTCCCTCTGCAGATCACAGCCCCCAGCCTCTGGGGGGCATTTGCTTGGCCTTGAGGAAAATCACCTAAGGCCAAATATGTGTTCATTCATTCACTCACTCACTCACTCACTCCTCCACCTCTCCCTCCCTCCTTCCTAAGCATGCACCGATTCCTGTGGATACAGAGGGGTGAGATGCAGGAACTACATTTGGGAGCTCCTGTCCTATAGCAGAGGCTGAGGGCGAGCACTGAGCGGAGCAGAGTGACAGGCTCACGTGTGGGAGGTGGGAGGGCCTTCCGCTGGATGCGGGCCCCAAGGGCCAGAGACGGTGTTCCCCAGGCTGGGCTGGGCAAGTGCAGGAGGCTGGAGCAGAGGAAGGAGGGCCGGGGGTGGGGGGTGCCACGCACTCATTTCCTCATTTATTCTGTTCAAGCCGCATTGATACAGCATGACCTGGGGAGCGACATGGAGCCCCCTGCCTCGTGGCCCCAACACGTGAGCAGGGAGGCTGGTGACAAGGGCTCCCGCTGATGGCAGTGAGGCAGGGAGAGGGGAGGGAGGGTACAGACCACTGTGTGGGGGCAGGAGGGCCAAGTCTTCACGGGGCACAGTCCTTGGGCCCCTCTAACCTGTCCCCCTCCCCCCCACAGCAGGCAGGCTCTGGAGAGTTCCGGACTCTGCGGAAGGGCTTCTCCCCGTACCACTCGGAATCCCAGCTGGCGAGCCTGCCGCCTTCCTACCAGGACTCCCTGCAGAACGTAAGTGCCCCTTCCCTGGAGTCGCACTTTTCACGTGTGGACCCGGTGCCTCCAGAATCCACGTTCCAGTGCAGGGGTGAGGCTCTGCCTGTCTGCCGACCTGCCCGGGCCAGTGGACGGTCCGTGACCGCACCTGGGACTGGGACCCTCGTCTCCGGCCTGAGCAGCATCCAGGTCAGGCGAGGGCGATGGGTCAGAGCTGGGGCTCTGCCTGAGTGGCCCTCCATCCCCTTCCTTCCTCCCGCCCTCTGCCAGCCGGGGGTCTGGGCTTGTGGCCCTCGGAGGCTTGTGCGGAACCCGCGAGGCGGTTAGAGATGGTGGCCAAGCCCGAGCGCTGTTGGGGCGGCGAGGGGCCGTGTCTGGAGGCCCCACGAGCGGCTGCCCAGGCCCCGGGTGCAGGGCACCTGTCACTGCTCGGCTCCGGCGGGCGGGGAAGGGTGCCTGGCCGGGGCTTGGGCCGGGGTGGCAGTGCATGCGATGCGTACTCGCTACCCAGGCTTTGTGACCGAGCGTCGGGGAGGAGCTCCGGTTTGTGCCGGGCACTAGTTCACCCTGGGTCCTCCGGGGCGGTCCTGGGCTCTGGGCTGCCCCGAGTGCGTGAGGGGGGCGCGGCGTGGGGCCAGCTCTCTGGGACGCGGATGGCTAGTCGGGACCGCTCCCTGTGGGCCAACGTGTCCGTCATCCCTGTGCGACGTGTCCAGAGTGCACGGTCTGGGGAGGCAGAGCTCACTGGCCAGGGCTGGGAAGAGGGCCATGGGGATTGCTGACGAGTATGGGGTTTCTTTTCGGGGTGAGGAAGTGTTCTATTGGGATGATTGCGTAAATCTGTGAACATGCCCAAAAACGCTGCCCGCGGACCCCTTGCCGCACGAGCTGGGCGGGTGACCGTGACTGGAGCGGCTTCAGTGCTCTGTGCAGCCGGGCGGGGACCCTGGCCATCCGCAGGGAACGGGCGAGGAGCCCGGCTGGCCTGAGGTCACTCTTCCAGGTGGCCGCTGTTCTCTCCCCATGACCCCGGCCAGCAAGGGTGACCCCGGGGTGCCCCTGCCAGGCCTCGCTGGGCCTCGGTGCCGGCAGAAGCAGGCTGGGGGCACTGCTGGCTGCCATCCAGGTGCTGTGTTTTCTTTTGAGGCCCTCACACCTCCAGGAATGTAGCTGCTGGGGCCGACCAGGCAGATAATCCAAATATTCATCCAGGAGGCTGTGGCCGGGTTGGGCTCCCAAGTGCTTTGTGCAGAAGGGCGCTGAGAAGCCCAGGGTGCCCCAGTGGGGGCTGGCTCCTTGCTCCTTCACTCCGTCGCCCCCCGGCCCCCCACCAGCGCCCCACCTGTGTTCATCCCGTGGCTGTGGAGCGCCGTGTGCTGGAGCTGCGGCGATCTGGGGACCGGGAAGGGCAATGCATCCTGCGTGCTGGCACCGAGCCCACGTGGGCCTAGAGGCCAGGGCCAGTGTGAACCTCCTTCAAGGCCGGGGGCAGGTCTCCGAGGTGCACAGAGAAGGTAGGGTGTTTTAGGGGAGGCTCAGCCACAAAGGCTGCGGAGGCAGCAGTGGATGGCCTGTGTCTGGCACGTGGGTCCACGGGGCGAGTGAGGGCTTGTATGGGGTGGGCCCTCTGTGCCCGATGACGCTGGGGACACAGGCTCTGCCACAGCTGGCCCATCTTCTGTAAGGTGCCTGTAGGTCCAGGGAGGGGGGGGCGGTGAGGGAAGGTCGCCCACATGCCAGAGGGCCCCGAGGTGAAACAGGTGACCCTGTAGGGTGGGGACACCCTTTCCTTGCCAGGCTGGCTGTCCCCCCCCGCCCCACCCCTGTCCCTATCCATATTCCCCTCTCCCTGTCCACGTGAGTCAGAGGCTGCAGGTCTGTGCAGGGCTCCCCAGCTGCTCCCCACGAGGGTCACTGGCCCAGGTGGCCATGGGGCAGGGTGCCCGGGGGCCCAGCCACACCTGGGACTCAGGGCCCCATGGAAGGAGCTGGCAGTGGCTTTCTGGCATTCTCCAGCCGAGAGCAGGATCAAGTCTTTTGACAGGTCCCTGGGGGAGACTGGTCCCCCTGCCTTTTTTTTTTTTGGTCGACTTTATTTTTGAGCATGCAGTTTCCCTGTTTTGTTTTGTTTTGTGCATATTTGCAGATTTGTGTAATCATCACCCCATCTCATTACCCCACGAGGAAACTCTGTGCCCTGTAGCAACCTTCCCCACTCTCTCCTGCCTCAGCCCCTGGAGACCACGGATGTGCTTGTGTCTCCGTAGATTTCCCTATTCTGGACATTTCCTCGCAACGGAAACTTGTAGCGTGCGATCCTCTGTGACTGGCTGCTTCCGCGTAGCGCCCCGCGATGGAGGCTTTGTCGCAGCCTGTCAGCACCTTGCTCCTTTTCACTGTCGAGTGAGACTCCGGGGCGTGGATGTGTCACGTTTTGCTGATGCGACCATCAGCTGCTGGGCATCTGGGGCTGTTCCCGTGCTTTGCCTGCTGTGAATAGTGCTGCCCTGAACATTCCAGACAAGTGTGTGTGTGTGGACGTGTGGCTTCAGTTCTCCCGGGTACACGCTGGCCTCCCCGCCTCCGGCGCCAGCTCTGGAGCTACAGACCCAGTTCGAGCCCCACTGGGGCTGGCTGTTTGGTCTTGGCCTTCTCTCAGACCCATTCTCCCCATCTGTAAAATGGGGATGTAGAAAGATAACATCTGAGGGTTGCAAGCACTCGGTGCGCTGGGCGGCTCAGGTGGGTGCCGACCCTCCCAGCGCTGGGAGAGCTGTGTGTGGGGAGAGCCCTGGGAGTACCAGTCCCGGTGGCATTTACTCCTTAACACGTGCTACACGTCCAGCTCAGCTTCCTTCCCAGGACCCGCAGTGGCACGCTCATTGGCAGCCTGGTGAGGTCGGTCAGGGAAAGGCTGGATTGCACGGCCTGCCCTGGCCACTCCTGGCTCCCTTCCTGCCTTTGCTCCAGGAAGCAGCCCCCTGGAGCAGCAATCGTCCCCTGCCCTGCCTATAGAGCCGGCTGTTCAGGGAGCCCCAGGTACAGATAGGACTGGAGGCCAGAGGTCCCTGTGCCTCTTAAGGGCTGAACGTGTGTGGCTACTGCCCCCTGCTGGCCGATGTGGGGAGCGCAGCCTGCCGGGCACATGCTTGTGTTCTGCCTTCCACCCGCCTCCCCAGAGCCCTTGGATCCGTTTTTGATCTCTCCACACGACAGATCTGGCCTGGGCCCCAGAGACCAGGCAGCCTGGGCCACTAGACGGCACCCCAGGGCTCTGCACACACTCTGGGACACAGGGACCCTTCCATTGTCCAGATTAGGAAACCGAGGCACAGAGTGGGTTGGGCCCTGCCTCAGGTCACAGCCAGGAGAGCTTTGCCCAAGTCTGCTTTTCTGGCCCCAAGGTTACGGGACCCGGCCTCTGGGTGGAGCCAGGAGAAGGTCCAGGTGGGGTGGGCAGATGGGGAGAGTGCAGAGGGGCTGGCCCACAGCAGAAAGTTCTGGGCCCCGAGAGTCTCTGCACAGCGTTGCCTCGCTGGGCAGGATCCCAGGGTGATGGCCCCACGAGCCTGCTCACCAAGCCTGCCTGGTCACTGGGGTCGGTGACTGGGAAAGAAACCAGGACCCAGAGAAGGGACAGCTGTGCCGGGAACCCCAGCTCCCTGGCCTCCCCGGGGGCCTGGGACCCTTGGTGTTTTCTGTCTGGCTGTTGGTGTTTGCTGAGCCCCTTAGGCTCACTCCCAGTGTCTTCTGGTGTCTCTTGGCCTGGAGAGCTCCATCCTGAGTCCTCCTTGTCTGGGGGCCCTCCTCCTATGGGGCCTCCCTGCAGGCCGGGCCCTGCACCCTGCCCATACCAGTAATCCCTGTGGAGAAGAAGCTGGGGATGCCGGGCGCACCTGCAGCCTCTGACATCGGTGGGCCCGACATCTGGGGGCTGGACCCCCCTCCTCGCCCAGCCTCGGCCCCCGCACCCCAGGCTGTGCCGAGTTGGGCACCTGGTTGCCGTTTCAGGTGTCGGCCGACTGCGGTGGCATGCGGTGGCCGGGCAGGGCTGGAAGAGTGTCCCTGGGGGTGGGGGATGGGGTGAAGCCTGGTTTAGCCCACTCACCTGGTGTCGGCGGGGAGGGTGGCAGCTTTGGAGGCAGCCCCCCGCGGTTTGCTCCTTGCCAGTCCCTGCCATCTCTGAGCTGGACTCACTTCCTCCGGGAAACAGCAGGCCTTCCCCACGGGCTGTGAGGAGGAGCCCGCGGGACGGGGTGGGGGCCAGGTGCTGCCCCTCTGTCCTCCCTGCCTCCTCTCCCTCATCAGCCGGGCCCCGTTTCCTCCTGCCTGGGCCCTGGCCCACAGAAGCAGGGACTTCTGTCTGCTGCCGGCCGCACTCGTGGCCACCAGCTGGGAGCCCTTCTGGGCAAGCTGCGACAGCGTGATTCCCTCCCACAGGGCCCAGCCTGCCCGGTCCCCGAGCTGTCCTCGCCCCCCTCCGCCGGCTACAGCTCCGCGGGACAGAAGCCAGAGGCTGTCGTGCACGCGATGAAGGTGAGGGCCAGGCCCTGCCCACCCTCACCCAGTTCCTGCCCCCTCAGGAGCCCCCAGATCCCTGGTGCAGCGCAGGACCTGGGACCTTGGACGTCACACGTGCTCTGAGCCCATGGGCATCTGAGCAGCAGGGTGGGGGCTTTCGTCCTTGTGCAGGGGTTGGGGGGGGTCGGGGTGACCACAAACACCTTGGAAATGGAGGTGTCAGTTGGCTGGAGCAAGCGTGTCACCTGTCTGCCATCCCTGCAGCTGGGGAAACTGAGGCCCGGGTGCGGTAGGGGAAGAGCCGGCGCTCCCCCAAAGCCTGAGAGTCGGGGGCAGGGCTGCGGTAGCACTAAAGCCCCAGCACCCCAAGGCCCAGCCTCGTCTCCAGGCACACCTGCCTCTCTGCTCAGGGGTAGGTCCCGCTGAGGCTCTCACTGCTCCTGGGGGAGCTCGCTCACCCGGACCTCACATCCCCACCTGTGCGCGCACCCGTGGACGCCCCACGCGTGCACGGACACAGGCGCGCCGTCCCCCGGGTTTGGGGGCCGGTCTGCGTCTGCGCGGATACAGCGCACGCAGCAGTGACTGGACACGCCCACTCACCCCGTGTGTGAGCAGGTGCTGTCCTTGTCCCTCTAATCACGAGCTGGGGGCCCTGGCCTAGCACGAGGCCACCTGCCCGCGGGTAGCCCCGCCCAGCCTGTCCTCCCTGCTTCCAGGTGAGGCGTCCCCAGCTTGCCCCGCCTCTCGATGTGGGGGTGTGGCTTCTGCAGAGCCACTAGGGGGAGGGAAGAGGACCAAAAAGTGAGGATGAGGACCCGCCCCTCCGGTCTCTTCGTGCCCCAACCTCGGGACCCTGGCCTCACCTCCGGCCCCGGGGCCTGTTCCCGCAGGTCCTGGAAGTGCACGAGAACCTGGACCGGCGGCTCCAGGACGGCTGTGAGGAAGGCCTGAGCGAGAAGGAGAAGGCCATCGTCCGCGAGATGTGCAACGTGAGGCGCTTCCCCGGGGCGCGGCCTGGGCGTGGGAGCAGGGAGGGCCCCGGCCGTCCCCTGGTGGGAGGGGCCGGTGACCTGGAGGGGGAGGCACCCGGAGAGCCCGGGGCCTGTCCTCACCCCGCTGCCTAACCCACTTCTCCCCGAGAATGGGGTCCCTGACCTCTGGGGTCTGTCCATCCCCAGAGCACCCCCCAACCTCCCGGGACGGGTCGTGTTCACCCCACGTCCCATCCCTTGGGCCCCAGCCCCAGACCGCAGGTGTCTGGTGCCCCTGGTGGCTGCCGGTGGTGTTCAGACTGGACATGTGGGTGGGGCCCTCCGGGACTGGGGCTGCATTGGTTTCTGGAAGCTGGGCCGTTTCTCTGGTTGTCCAGGAGGTGGAACCTCACCCGTGACCCCACTGGCCAGTGTGTCATCCCTGGATCCTTACAGGACCCGGCAGGGGCTGGCCCGGGCCTCACGGGGCTGGGGCGGGGGGTGGTGTTCTGACCCCCACCCCTCCCATGCTGCCTCCTGTACCTCTGGGTCCCACTGGACAGCCGCAAGGCCACGCCTGCGCCCCGGCAGTGACGTGCTCAGGATGGCAGGCGTGGCCGTGAGGGGGGGGACGTGCAAAGATCTGGTCTGAGTGTCTCTGGGCCTCACACAGCCTCAGTTTCCCCTCCTGGCCCCGTGGCTCTGGGGACGTGGGTGGTTTGGAGGGGCAGTGAGGCGGTCTGTGCATACAGGCCAGGGGGTGGGCTCGGGGTGGGCTTTCCACTCACAGCTCGCCCCCGTCCGCAGGTGGTCTGGAGAAAACTGGGGGATGCGGCCAGCTCCAAGCCCTCCATCCGGCAACACCTGTCTGGGAACCAGTTCAAGGGACCCTTGTAGGGCTGCTCCCCCGTGGATGTGGACTAGCCCTGCGGGGTGTCCTGGGGAGCCGCAGGCCCCCGTCTTCTTTTTCTGTGGCGAATTGTACATAGGACGCTGCCCGCCGTGACCCGGCTGCCGTGGGTCCAGCACACGGACGGCCGGGCCCCCACCTCCCTCCTCACACACCAGCAAACCGGGAAGACGCGAGGCTGCCGGCCGTTCTGTGCAGCAGGGTGGCCTGGACAGCCTCGTCCCTGCGCTGGGGCCCCATTGGCGAGGGGCCGAAGGCCGGCCTTGGCGGAGGGGCGCCTCGTCAAGCCTTCCACCCACGCCAGACAGAGGCCCCCGGTGGCTGGACCTAACGCGGGGGGCCCCACTCCTCACCCATCTGCTGTGGCCTGAACGCCAGCCCGCTGAGCACTGGGTCCCGAGTCCCCGACCAGGAAGCTCCGTGTCTGTGGCTGGAGGCTCCGAGGCCCTTCGTCTGGCACCCCCCCTCATGCGCAGCTCCCTGCTGCACGCTGCTGCTCGGTTTCAGGGTTCAGGCCCCCAGCCCCACACACACACACACACAGTCCCCCAACCCCGCGCCGGGTCGTGCCCTCTCTGGGTCCCTCCTGCCTGGTGCCCGAGGCATCTGCACTCCTGTGCTTCACATGATGGGCCAGGGAGGTGGGAGGCCACGTGGAGAGTCTCTGGTTGAGCCCCCCGCCCCGCTCTCTCCAGATGGGTGGCGCTGGGCCGGGCTGGGCCTCTGGTATCCCCCAGAGCCTGGCCCCCAGCCAGAGTCACTGTCGACGGAGCTGCGCGGGCGGCCGAGGGGAGAGTTCTGCCCTCTGTAGAAGGAAGGAGCCTGACCTGGCTCTGGCTTTAATTTGCTGCGTGACCTTCAGCAAGTCAATCAGCTTCTCTGGGCCCCCGGTGGGAAAACGAGGTCTCAGGTTCTTTCGGCCGTGCTCACCACCCAAGGCCACCAGCTTTATTCAGCCGGTGCCCTCAGTCGCGGCCTGCGAGCCCATGGGGCCCGCCTGCCGCAGAGGCCGCTGCTGGCTGGGCTGGGCTGGGCTGGGCTGGGCTGGTCGGAGCCGGGGACCGAGCTGAGTTCTGCCTTGCTGCCTGCTCACAGGTGCTGTCCCCTCCCCTCTCTGAGCCTCAGTGTCCTCTGCCGGAGAAGGGACAGCATCGGGCCCTCCATGCAGGGCTCGACATCAGACAGAGCTTCAGTGTGAATGACCCCATGCCGGCCGTAGAGCGCGATACAGAAACGTGGAGGTTGGTGAGGAAAGCGAGGCCCAGAGGGTGAGCGAGCTGTGGCACGTTCCAGACGAGACCCCAGATGCTGGGAGGTGGGACAGGCCGCCGCGAATGCTGTCGGCACGGGCCCTGGTGTCCACTGGGCACCTGGCCGCCCACCCCTCACGTCGCCTTCACTCGGCGGCGGTGCTCAGCAGGGCGCCCGCCAGCACTTGAGCCCGGGAGGCCGTCTCTGCAGTAGGTGGGCCTCGTCCAGGCCCCCGTGAGGCACGGGGACAGGGCCAGTGGATGGGGAGGCCGCCCTGTTCCTGTCCCCAGCGGGGACTCTGCGTTGGCCTGTTGGTCATTGTGCCCTTGGGTCGTACGCTCTCAGGGGAAAGGCTCGCGGCCCTCGTTGTGCCCAGGGAGGGCTAAGTGGGTGCTGGTGACAGCCACAGGCATTTTCCTCTTGCCCTGGGGGGTTACAGGGAGCTCTGGGCTCCTCCTGGAGGGATCTTGCCTGTCACCAGGGGTTAGGTGTTTGGAGCTGGGGGGGGGATACCCTTGGTCATGGCACCGGGCAATCCCTGCCCTTGTGGGCAGTGAGCTGGGGGGCAGAGGCCCCTTCTGGATCTTGGGAGTCCAAAGAACCACGGAGCAGCCCGGGGGGAGGGGGGAGGGGTCCATTTTGGGTGGAAGCCACAGCTGGGAGCCCATTTTTCATGTTTGGATCAGGTTGGCTCGGCCACCACTGAAAATAAGCAATAAGTAAGGGCTCCCGGTAGCTGCACGTCTGCAGACCGACCCAGGGAAGAACCGCCTCGGAGGGGCCTCCCCCCCCCCCCCCCCCCACGTGCTGCCGTGGCATCCAGGGGTCAGGCGGAGCGGAGCGTTTCTGCCCGAGCCCTCCTGTGTGCCACGGAGGCCGTGGAAGCCAGGTGCGGGCATCTCCTTCCCACCGCTGCTCGCGGTCCTGAGCCAACAGTGCACGGGGATGGCTTTCAAGGACAGAACCGTGTCTGTGACAGTCACCTAATGTGATAAGCTGTTTAAAAGCCAGCAGCACCTCCGTCTGAGCCCACACCCTAGGTGGTGGGCAGGTTCAGTGGGAGCCCACAGGCTGGGGAGGGTCAGAGTAGCCTCAGCCCTGCCACCAACCCGGGGTGTGTCGGGTGACGTGGGGGGCCCCCTCCTCCCCTCCGGAGCCTTCGCTGTAGCAGCTCATGGTGGGGGTAGGGGTGTTGCTGAGCTCGGGTGGCCTTTCATAAAGGTCGCTTTACGTTTCACTCTGAGTCTACATCTTGAAGCCCAGTGTGGCATCTGTCCTGTGGCTTCAGTTCCCACTGTGATGGAGGTCACCCTTCCAGCCTCACCCCAGGTGGCCTCGCCCATCCTGGGAGCAGAATCTGCTGAGCACATTTTTTAGGGTGGCACATTTTTATCCAAAAGTTATTAGCTACACATCAGTGTTTAAAGAGAAAAAAGTGACCTTTCATTTTCTTTTTCTTGAAAACTTGAGAGGAAACAAAATACATACTACTGATTTTTTTTTTTTTTTTTTTTTTTTTTTAAAGAAACAAGCTGAGCGCATGACTGCAGAGCGGTAGAGGTGTATATTTTTCATACCGTGGGGGGAAGTATTTGTGCTGCTTTCTGGAATCGGGCTGGAACGTCTGGTTCCTGTCCCTGGGCCGTCAGCCATGCTCTATTTTCTGTAGTATGTGACCGCCGTGAGAAACCGGGCCAGCCCTTGGCCTGGCTCCAGGCGGAGCTGGGAGCTGGAGACCCCTGTGCCCGTTTCTACCTTCCACTGAACCACTTTGATTTGGAGAGAAAAAAGAAATAGAACTTTTGATAGTGTGGTAAAAACATTGATTTGAACTATTTTAGTAAAAGGAGTAACAGAAGATTGTGATAGTGTCTACTTTGCGCTAGATAAATAAAGGCTCTTTGCAAGCCTCCACGGTTGGTGCGCAGTGTTTGTTTCGGGTGGGGGCGGGGGTCGCCGCTGGAGGGCCACGGCCCCCGGGAGCACCTCAGGTGCTGGACGGCACTGACAGCCACTCGGATGGCCTCTGTCTAGTTTCAGGCCCGGGTGGGAGGAATCTCAGACCCAAGCCCTGGTGTGACCTAGGAACCAGAGCTCTGAGCAGGTGCACCCGACGGTCCTGAGCTGGTTCGGAACTCACCGGGGTCCTCCTACCAAAGCCAATGTGGGCACGGGGTGTGGGGGGCTGGCCCGCAAGGACAGACCCACAGCGGCGCTGCCCTGCGAGACGGCAGGGCCAGGACTGGGGGCTGCGAGACCAGCCAGCGCCAGGCCTCTCTGGGCCAGCGCTCCTCCGCTGCCTGCCCCTTGGCCCCCGGGGGCAGGAGAAGGGCCGCCTCTAGACTTCCCGGTCTGGGGCTGCGCAAGGCCTGGAGGCCCCACCTTCTGTGCGTAAGAAACAAAAGGATAGGTTCAGCACGGTTTTATTTGGATAACTGAAGGAGTCATGTCTGTAACCAAGATGGAATTCACAGTATGTTGTTACATTCACACTTAAAAAATATATCTCTATGTACAGGAATTTGCAAATTGATGTAAACATACGTTACTTTCCAAGTACAATTCTCCCCTTCTCTCTGGAGGAAAAAGAAAAAAGCCATCCATCAAGGCAACCCCTTCAAAATAAGTTTAATACAAAGCATGTAAATATCTCTCAATCAAAACAGTGGTTCATCTGACCTACTGGGTGCTGGGAGAGAACATCACGGAACAAAAGCGATGACAGACAGCTTGACTTCAGATGGAACTGGACTATTTAAAATTGAGTTTCCAGGAAAAATAGGCACTGATTTCTAGAAGGAACTTCACTCCTTACTGAAGCTATTTATTGAGCCAATATGGCTGGTTAATGTTTCACTAGTACCCGTGACCCGGTGCAGGATGCTCACACGACACCAGCCGACCACCCAGCGCAGTCAGATGGAGACTGGTGCTGCCCAGGCTACTCTCAAACTGCTGTCCCCATTCTCCAGATGTGAGGACCACCCCAACTGTATCTCATGGGCCCCGTCTGTTTCTTCCCATGCTGCAACTGTCTAGCATTACGTAAGGTACCCTGCTGCTTACCCACTTAAACTACTCTTCAAGTTGATTAGAAAAACTTGGCTTAAAAAAAACAAAGGGGGGAAGAAAAGGCATCGCGTTATCTCATCCAGGTGGCCCGCCCCAGTCCCCCCACGGGAGGCATGCCGGGTGGGGGGATGGGCGGGGGCACGGGTGGCTGTCCTCCAGGGGGAACAGCCGGAGGCGGGTAGCTAGCCGGTGGCAAGCCCAGGCCTGGAGGAGGGTGAGGGGGGACGGCGTGGGTGGGGGGCAGGCGTGGGGGTGGGGGTGGGAAATTGGGGTTGTAGGTGGGGGGAGGAGGAGGGTAGCCGGGAGTGGGGGGAGGAATGGCAGGTGGGGGGAAGGAGGCCGGGGGAGGGGGCACAGGCGGAGGGGGCGGGTTGGGGGGGTAGACGTGCGGGTGGTAGGGCAGGTGGGCTGGTGGGCCGTAGGCGGGGGGCAGGGCACCGTAGGAGGGGCCCTCGGTCTTCATCATGGACTGCAGGCTCTGGTAGCCCTCTCCGGACATGTAGGAGCTGGTGGTCGACATCCCGGTCATGTAGCTGGAGGGCGGTGGCGGCGGTGGCCGGTGTGGCAGCGGTGGCGGCTGGTGCACAGGGGCCGGGTGGGCCGGAGGAGGAATCTGCACTTTGGGGAGGTCACTGGCATCCACAGGGCCTGGAGGCTCAGCCTCGCCTAAGGGAGCCGAGATGGGAGGCTTCCGGTCTGCAGGGGAGAGACAAGTTACTGCCCGGCCCCGGGCTCCCAGGGTGGCCCGTGCAGGGACGCATCCGGGGACCCCCTCAGGGTGGGGAAGGCCTGAGCCAGGGTCTCCCGCGGCAGTTCCCACGGCCACCCTAACCACCCCGATTTCTGGCCTCCAGTACAGCCCTGGCGGGGCTGCTGCCCTGTCCCCAGGGCCATCTTCACAGAGGAACAGGGAGCAGCCGTCACTGTGGCAGTCGGCACCCGACGCCGTCCGCTTGTGCCATATCTGTCACAGAGGTCCCCGCCCCGGCACGGCTGGGTCTCCCTCCCTCGGTCCTCGGCACACCAGCCAAGGAGGTGCCTGTAGTGCACGAAGCCCCGTCTGCCTCCGGCTGTGTGCCCGTCCTGCCAGCACAGCCCCGAGTGGGGGCCCCTTCTTCCTGCCTGTCTCTGCCTCCAGAGACTGCGAGGCCAGGGCCACGTCACCTCACTGTCTGCAGCACGGGCATCGAGCACGAAGCCTGAGAGGTGGTCAAGTGAACGAGGCAATGTTTAAAAAAATAACAAGCGTCTGATATTCCCCATGTAGCCACCAAAGTAGCAATTCTGCTTCTAGCTGACAGAAGAAAACCGAGATGGGACCCCACCGCGTCCTCTCAGAAAGCACCCTGCCGTGGTGCCTTCCGGCCATGGCCCTCCACTCCCTTCACCCACGGTCTCGTCTCACCCGTTTTCACCTGCCACCCCCCAACCCCCGCATTCCTGGTCACACACCTGGAAGAGAACACCGGACACCCCACCAGGGGAGGCCCATCACTGACAAGTGGGTCTCTTCCTAAGGCAACCCAGAGTCCAGGGCCAATCACAGGAGTCGAGATCTCTGGGTCCAGAGAACACAAAAAAGTGAAGGCCGCGAAGGGGGCCTCCAGTCTCCTGGCCCCCTGCCCCGCGTGCTCCCTGGAGCTCCCGCCAGCCCTGACTGCGGACACGGACGTGCCGAGTGCCCAGGGGGGCGCCGGCGGCTGCGGTTCCCTCACTGCTTTCTCCAAGTGAACGAGAGCACAATCTCGGCTCGGCCAGGACATCCTCAGCAAGAGCCACGTCCCCGGGGCTGGGCCTGAGCTAAGCGGCGTGCCCGCCCAAATCCGAAGCCAGACGTGCCTGTAGAGAAATCTGCTTGCGCTCCAGGGTGGGGCCGGGGCCCCGCTGGTGCCAGAAGCTGACCGGAAGACGCAGAGCATGAACCTGAGGCCTGTGGACCCAAGTGCCGGCCGCCTCGGATCGCCCCGTACGCCGGCCACGGCCGCCCGGGCCCACGAACGTGCTCTCCCATCCCCGAGACCTCGCTTCCTGTGACCCACAGCTCTGCCGCCTCCCCACGTCCCCAGCGCATCCGCCTGTCCTCTGTGACCGCACCCGGAACACGCGGTCTCTCCAGGCGCCTGCGCTACTCTTCTTCCCTGCCGACACCCACCACCACCAGCTGCCCTCTGAGACACCTGGTGACCTAGGTGGCTCGCCACGTCCCGCGCCTCACGGCAACTGTGGTTCTAGTTGCTCTCCCCCCCCCCCCCCCCCGAACCGGACTCCCGCTCCTCCTCCGAGCCTTCCGCCTACCTGCCTCCCATCTGCCACAGGCCCCTACGAAGTGGGGACGGGACCCTGCCGGAGTGAGCTCCTGCAGCCCGGCCCACCCTTCCCTCCCGGCTGCAGAGTCAGTTCCCACCACCCGCCACCCCTGCCCTCACCCTCCCTGCCCGCGGCCCACCGTGGGAGCTCCTCCGCAGAGTGCGGCTCTCTCCCTGCCCTGGGCAAACCCGGGACACCAACCCTGTCCTCAGCTGCACCCCCGGGCACAGGAAGGGAGGCCCTTCGCTGGCGGAGAGACGTAACATGAACACTGAATGACCCATGGCAGGTATTTTTCAGCAAGCTTCATACTGAACCAGGGACTGAGAGATTTGTCCCACAGCAGAAAATGGTGCCCCGGTTTCCCCAAAGCTCGTAAAGTGCTGGGACTGGCCACACGTAGAAAGAAATGCCATCGGCAGCACCCCTACCACAGACACGCGGGCGCGAGGGGCCCAAGGGCACGGCAGGCACTGGCAAGCGGAGAGTGCAGCCCAGTGAGAGCGCGGACCCCGCCGCGGAGCACCCAGCCCCCCTTGACTCATACACACAACTGCTGCCCTCCCTCATTTCCTGCTTTGTCTTCCGGACCGCTGCCCCAGGGAGATAATGCTAAGGAATAATGCCCCAAGGAATAATGCTATATTCCTTACAACACTTCTCCAGTTTTAAGTGGTGCCAAGGAAGCTTCCCAGTTCACCGTGTGCCTGTCGAAAACGTGCCAGGCTTTAATTTATTCTCTGCTGGGCTCTGAGCTACTGCTTATCTTCAAAACGTACGGAGAGGCTACCCTGCCACCAGGAGGCAGGCGTGTGAGGGACAGGGGGCTCAGATCTACGGCAATCCCGCTGGGTCGATGTTCGTACATCAGCAGGCTTTGCTTTCCTAAAACTGATCCTACGTTGTTTAGCCTGCGGAGTCCGGCAGCTCTGCACGTGGGAGGTCAGAGAATATCCAGATATACTTAAAATTTACGACTTCCTCAAAATGTCTGCTTTGTGAAAAGCATAATTTTTGAAAGATCCTTGGGCATCACCTTCTTTTTAAATTTTGGCTAGCAAGTTTCCCCTCCACAAACTCGTCCCCAGGCCTTCCCAAGTGTGCCCTTCAAGAAAGCCAAGCCAAAAGCTGGCACTCGCAAGCTGCTTTCAGCGGACACTTACCTGGAGGTGGGTGGGCCGGAGGCAGTGGAGGGTGAGTGGTCTCGATCTTGGGGATTTTAGGTGGCGGTGGTTCTAAAGAGGAAAAGTGGATGGAAAAGCGACTCAGACCTCTCCCTGCGAATCAAGAGACCATGGAAGGAAAAGAGAGGCGGAGGAAAATGTGCTGCTCAGGAGCGTCTTTGGGGAAAAAGAACGGATATATGGGAAAAGCTTCAGGAACCTGAGGGGGCCTCAACTAAACCAGGTGCTAGTCCTTCTGCAGGAACCGAACAGGCCACACACCGCCCCGTACCCCCAAAGAACACAGCCCGCTGGCCCTTTACAGCCCTTTCCACATCCACCCAGCTTCCTTGCCGACCGTCCCAGACAAGC